CGAACAATGCAGCAACATTTAGATTGACTTATTTACTCCATTATGTGCACAAACTTTTTGCTCAAAACTGCACATACGTTCTACCTATAAGATAATATTTTCACTCACAATTGCACATTTTTTCATGCTTCTGTTTTATTTCCTGCATGCGGACTGAACTGCGCAGAACGGATCCGCAAATCAGCTGATCTCCGCCGCCCGGCAAGGCGGCCTGAATGCCCGGAGCTGGATCGATGATCTGCAGGTGGAGAACAATGCGTTTCACCATGGCTCGCAGGAGCTTGTATCGCCTCACTGGATCCACAGACTTGCAGCTGGCATAGTCATCAGCCAGGGTTTTCAGGTAACCTTTGAGGCGCTTCCACTCAGTGCTGAGTTCCTCATTTTCACCCGCCAGCTTTTTGTAGTACTCGCGGTTGGGATCGCCTAGAGCCGCTCGCAGGAACTCCCTGGGACCATCCTTTTTAAAAACGCTGGAGATACGCCGTAGGTTATGGGCTGCGAGGCTGGCACGGCGCAGGGTTGCTGGCAGCAGATTCACCTCATCCTCAGAGTGCGTATCGCTTAGTCCGCAGGATTTAAATTGACTTTGAGTAGGCAGGACGGATCGTCTCCTCTCCTCGTTGTTAATGATAATGCTACCGCTGGAGGCTCTGGCCGATGCCGGTCGTGACATTTCTACTTGAGAGAGCCCAACGTGCTCAGCATATATTGTGCCTGGAGGACCAATCAGATGACCCAAATAAATGATTGGTTGAGCGGCGGGCGTATGGGCAGGCTACCCAATTTGAAACATGCTATAAACTTTGTTTTCGTTGACAAAAAAGCAATCCGATGCAATTGAAGTGGTTTCTTGTGCTTTTTTTTTATGGCAGCAGTAGAAACTAAGCTAATTTTTTTGTTTAAATTTGCAGTTCGAATTTTGCCTATCGTATTCCAGTAAAAAACAAGCGTTCTAATCGTGGTACTTTATAATTAAACATGCAAGCATAGACTCAGTTTTTGTGAATGATAGAAGACCAGTTTGAAAATATCGACAAAAGCAGTACGTTTATTTTATAATGCTCTATGCGAATCCTTTGATGCTTATTGCCTCATACAACTTATTTTCACGCTTTCTGAACTGTTCCCGCAACAATGTGTTTTAAAATTGGATAAGAAAAATGCTATATCCTGCACTTTGAAACACTGTTTTAGACATTTTTAATGCCCATTTTCGGAATTGATGTTTATCTATACGGCAAGAAAGCTGACGATCTTTTAAACATTTGGTTGATCATCGATCTTTCACTTTTGGAACAGATTCTTGAGTGCTAATTCGTGTTCTCATACAGAGGAAGATCAAATCGCCGGGTAATAATTTTGGCCCGGTGAACAGGAAGATTTAGGATGAAGGTAAGTGGATTGTAAGGTTGGAGGTTTTGCTGTCTTGTTCTAACCCCAAGACACAATTTTCCCGTCCATTTTCCCACTTTGATGCGAAACCTTTCCAGTTAGTTTCACGTACGCGTGCATAATTCACTATCGTGTAGATAAATTTAGAACCATAGTTCAAGAACCAAAAATGGTCTATGAGTATATACAGTGTCCAAAGTTAAGGAATGCTGTCCTACAGCAATCATGCAGCCATATTTTTTTAATACGACCACTTTATGTTAAAAAAAATATAAAAGTTTTTTTAAGGAGTAGCAACAACTTAGAACCTTCTAGGGGAAGAACTGTGCTTCTACCTGGAGGACATCTCTTTATTTGAGAAGTATGAAGCATTCCCGTAATCACGGGGCTAAAACCTTCTCGAGTTATTCCAAATCCATCGAAAGAAATTGTAATAATATAATCTTGGGAGGGGTACCATTTTGGGTTTGGTACAGCTGACTGGCTACGGCCAATAAACCAGAAATGACCATTCCCGTGTCCCTTGTCTCCATCGTTAATATCCTTCTGTCTACATTACTAACCGCTAGCTTGGCCGCTATCGCGACTCCAGAGTGAAGCTTAAGGCAGATCAGGACGACTGCAACTGATAGGCGATTGGTGATGGCCAATCCACCAATGTCAATATGGTGGGATTCTACTCTGTCTGCCTGGAATTGTTTACATAATCCAATGTTTTCGCAAAAAATGTAGCGCGCAATAGACATACACAGATAATTTACTTTCATTTCTTGCTTACTTGTAGTTTCTTAGGGGTGTGGGTTATTTGGACATATTTTACTTACTAATACTTCCGATTTTATTGGGTTTCTTGAGATTCCTGATTAGGAGGTCGTCTAACTCAACTTACAGAATTACCTTTGTTGAGTTAGGATAGTATGGTATGCGGCGCGATGCGCCGCGCACACCATCACTTTAGTGTCCAGTTCATTAGCAGGCTTACTATTTTTATTTTGGTTTTAGATTATGTTTAGTTAATTCAGTTTGACTTACTTTTCCTAAAGTTTTCTAGTTGCTTGGTTTTAGGTTTAATTAATTACTTTTTAGTTTGTTTCTTTCCCAATATTTGCATAATTTCAGATTTTAATTCTGGCGCACTTTTTGTTGACAATTATTAGATTTGTTATTATTTTTTAGTTATTAGTAATTATTCCTGCTTTTCTACCTTTAGAAACTTTATTTGCATTCATATTTCCTTTCCTTTATATTTCACAGACTGTATACTCTTTATTACACCCTGTATTACAGAACGGTGGGACTCTCGCGTGCTGATTTGGGAACCAAAGTGGGATTCTACCGTTAATATTCCCGATCGAAACCGGCAAGTCAACGCCCTCATAACTCAGTGGGCAAGAGCGTTCGAATTCTAGCTAGCGAAGTCGCGGGTGGTGGACCAGCTGGGGGTTGGATATGACTGCTTTAAGACAGCTTATGAGCCGGACATTGCTATTTCAGCTTCACTTATCTTAGGCGGTAATGTTCTTCAGTGTAATCTATTCATGTTATTTATACTGCTGGCCTTTTGTAGGCATACACTTTGGGGGAGTTTTCAACTCTGCCGCTCTCAGCATCCGTAAGTTTCTAGGTGTTGAATGCGATCTGCCGGTCAAGAATAAGTCTATGTACTAATGTTGAGAGTTTATTAAATTGACAGTTCAGTTGTAAGAGTAATGTGCCCGCTAAATACGTTACTTCGGTTAAATTTTGATGGTTTTCACAGTCCACAAACTTGCGTATGAAAATTCAGTTACCAACAGACAGTTTACATAAGATCGCGAATTGTAGCCGATTACCGACATAATTTCCGCCACAGTTGTACCAACAGGGCAAATGCAGACCACTGCTTAGCAAGACGTCATAATTAT